ATATTTTAAATGAATATAGCAATTTAAATATATATAAAAATTGAGAAAAAAATCAAACACACGCTAATATTTTGCTTCATTTTGCGTCTTTTTCTTCTTTTTTTCAATATAAATAAAAATATAACTACAGGTCTGTGAATTTTCACAAGTTGAACACAGCTCCCAAATCAAGAAACAACCTTTCCAGCACCCCTAGAAACACCCTGTGCCCTCTTTAAGTCACTGCCCTCCTTCCTAGAGTAACTTTATCCTAACTTCTAATACCCAGATTAGTTTTGATTTAGTTTTATATAAACAGAATCATATTGTATATACTCTTGTGCCTGACTTCCTTCACTAAAGATTACTGTGAGATACATTCATTTTGTAACATTTAGTTATAGTTCATTCTCGTTGTACAGTCTTTCATTATGTCAGTATACTAGATTTTTGAGTAGTTCCAGTTTTTAGCTATATGAGTAATGCTGCTTATGTATATTCTCTCTTTTGATGAGCACATGTATGCATTTCTGTTGGATGAATACATTAAGTAGAATTGTTGGGTTGGAGGGTAGATCATGTTCACTTTTGGTAGATATTGTCAGAAGATCCCCAAAGTACACTGCCAGTGTGGCTCGGTCAGTTAGAGCGTTGTCCCGAGCACCAAATGGTCGCAAGTTCAATTCCAGTCAGGGCACATACCCAGGTGTGGGTTCAATCAATGCTTCTCTCTCACATCAGTGTTTCTCTCTCTCTCCCTCTCCCTCTCCCTCTCCCTTCCTGTCCCTTCCTCCCTCACTCACTCACTCCTTTCCTCTCTCTCCAAATCAATAAAAACATATGCTCGGTGAGGATTTAAAAAATAATAAAGAATTTTTTTTAAAAAGGAAAGAAAGAAAATCCAGCCTCACGCCCAATATATAGTAGGAAAATGGAGGAGGATTTTATGGTCTCTCCCGATACTTGTGGCTGTTCTGATACTACACCAAAACTGAGCAAGTGGTAGTTTCTTAAAGATTAGTTAACAGTGTGGCATCTGAAACTATATCCATGGTTTTTCATACTCTTACATTAAAACCTATTGATATTTTCACCCTAGCTGGGTTGGCTCAGTGGATAGAGCGTCAGCCTGCAGACTGAAGGGTCCCAGGTTCAATTCTAGTCAAGGGCACTTACCCACGTTGCAGGCTCGATCCCCATTAGGGGTAGGCAGGATGCAGCTAATCAATGATTCCCCTCATCATTAATGTTTCTATCTCTCCCTTCCTCTCAGAAATCAATAAAAATAAAAAAAACTATTGATATTTTGGAAAATACTGGTTCACTGAGTTATGGAGATCTTCCAAATATTGGCACATTACATTGTACAATATTTAAAAAATAACAGTCCTGGCCAGGTAGCTCAGTTGGTTATAGCATCATTGGATACACCAAGATTGTGGGCTTGATCCCCAGTCAGGGCACATACAAGGACTAGCCTATAAGTGAGTGGAACAACAAACTGATGTTTCTCTCTTTCTCTCCCTCTCTCAAATTAATAAAGATATTTTAGACAATTTTTGGTGTCACCACTGACATTGTCAAAAAAGTCTTCGAAGTATTTGGAAGACCAGATGTCGGCCCCTGACTAGCTCTCAGGCTATCTATCAATGGTAGTTAAATGTTTTTCAAAATTGTAATTTATTCCTGGAAGCTCAAATTTTATCAAACACTGTCAGTTGTTTTTCTTGACGTGACAGGCTCATTTCATTCATCTTTAGAAAATATCTGCCAAATATCCAACATGGGTAACATAACTTGTCTGTCAGTTGTTCTTTCCAGAAATATGTGGTCCATGAAAAAGATGGCTAGTTCAGCTCACACTCAAACTATCTCATGAGTGATTATCTTCAAGACAACCATCATACTGTGACATGACCAGAATTGCTTTATGAATATGTCCTATTTCATCAATCCAGAACAGTAAAAAGGCATGCTCTCAAGGTTTGAAGTTTTTAAAAGTTAATAATGTTGACTGTTGTCCAGCTGGAGTGACTCAGTTGATTGAGA